GTATACAAGATTTTTTTATTTTTTTTAATATGCTAAAAATGAAGAGTGGATCACTCAGTATGGATGCAGTTATATTTTTAACCACTGAAAAGACTGCGTAGTTAAGAGCCTTACTTGAAATTGATGAAAATAGCCAAATAAACCTTTTAAAAAAATGATTTTATTATAAAAGAATATTGATACCTTGGGAGCAGTCTTTGTGGCTCCACCCACGTTTGCACTTGCAAAATCCAGAGATCGAGTCACAACCCACAGAATTTTCAAGGATGCACTGGCAAGTCAAATTGCACGTATCCTGGCCATAAGTGTAGGGCAAACACACTAAAAATAAATAAAATAAATTTTTTTAAAACATGATTTTTTTTCTTCAAAATTTTCCCTCTTTGGTAGACCTACTTAACAATATAGAGAAAAAACACAAAATATTCAAACATGCCAACCCCAAAATAACAATTTAAACATTACCAAGATATAAATAAAAAATAAACATTCAACTCACAATTTCAAACATTTGGAATTAACCAGACGATAACAGCAAACAATTGTGTCATTTAACACATGAAAACAGTAAAATCAGGGCCTGTTTAATTGGGGCGCGCGAAGGAAGGGTGCATGGGAAATAGGGGGAGGACAGCGAGGTATTTATCGTGGTAACAGCTATATTAATTATTCTATCTAATCCTCTTCAATTCAGTATTCTTGGCAGATAACTATTAATACTTCATGGCAATATTCTATATTGTGAGGAAGGCTAATAAGACGTAATTTATTTTTAATTTTTAATATTATAATCACTTTAAAAAACTTTATTTAATGTTACAGGCATAGCAGTCATGTGAGCTCTGCAAACCCTCAGCATATTAAAGTGACACTATATAGTGGAACCTCTCATAAGGACTGTTACTCGTTAAGCAAAACACTCGTTAAACGAAACAATTTTTCCCATACAAATCAATATAAAATACGATAATGCGTTCCACGCTGAAAAAATACTAATTTTTAAAAAATTTTTATTTACATTTATTCAAATAAAATTACTTATGAATTGTTAAGGAGTGTAACAACTTGGTATACAATTTAGATTTGAAACAAAAAACGTAAATAAAAATATGAAGTTGTGACAAATAATCCTTTTTAACTAGAAAACTGTCTAAAGACATTTGTTTTTGCCGACACTTCAAAATGTGTCACAGCATCATCATTCAATTAATTTATAGCACGAATAGCCACCTCCTTATTAGGGTGATGCTTCTCAATGTACGATGCAACAGTGTCCCTTTGAAGCATCCATCTCCTTAATTTTGTTTTTGTTCTTGAGAATAGTGCAGATCGTTGATATTAATATTGACCGATTGTATGTGCGCTAGATTAGCCACACACACCTTGTTCTCACTTTTCAATGATTTTACGTTTCATTTCAAAAGTTATTTTTTCTCTTATGATTGTCTTCTTGTGGTTTTTTCTTCGAAGACATTTTAGCACAGGTTATTACACTTTGCACATAAAAAAAATTACGAATACTGTCTGAATACAAAATTTGTAAAAACTGTTGATCACACACGAAAACAATACACTAATAGACCGGAAGTCCCGGCTCACAAATGAATGTCAGGAAAAAGGGACTTCCCCTTTCTGCAAAATGCATTATGCGAAATATCGCTCGTTAAGAGAGCAACTTCACATTTTTTTTTTGCTCGTTATGCGAATTACACTATACTGTATATTTAAAGGGCCTAAAATTATATCGCGAAAAAAACTATTAACTAAGAATGCAGGGACACAGCAGTTTTTTAGGATTAAAAAAAACAACACATTAAATTCATGTGTTATTACCATGTGTCCAATAAACTGAGATGAAGCCTCGGTTGGAAAATGGTCCATTTCCTTGAAAGGAAACAGTCATTGTATTTCCAGCTGAGCGTACAAAGAGGCTTGACATTTCCGTCTGATTCTTTAGGCCACTATATGTACCGATGCAAAAATCTTCTAGCAAATGATGACCATTGTAAATTCTGACATTGTCCATTGCTTCCAGGTCAAAGAATCTAAACCTAAAATACAGATCATTAAATAAATTAGATCTAACATTGACATTCAAAATTATGTTGACAAATAATCGTTTTTATTTCTAAAAATTGCAATATTTTTTTTTTTAATTTAAAATGTGCCGTGTAAAAATCGCAATCAAAAACTTCTGAAGAAAACTATAAACCAATTATAAACGTTTACCTTAAATCTATAACTTCTCCAGTTGGTGCATGAATATACCATAAGCATTTCAAATCAGGTGGGTAAATCTCAGGGTAATTTGGTGAGGCTATAACTCCTGATTGAAAGCCCAGATTGCCGCCGCATTCTGAGGGTAACAGACAATCATAATGTGATCATTGACTGATTGAGCCAGTGAACCCTTTTTACTTTTAGCCTTAGGGTTATGAAGATAGGGGGTGTGGTGGTGGTTGTTTGTTTTAGTTGGTGATTTTTAAGACACGCTTTTGTGTCAAACTTGGGATTCTCATTCATATTATATCTATATATATATAAATATATATATAAATATATATATATATATTATATATTAAACGTAAATTTTGAGTTAACGGTATGGGTTTTGCCAAGTTTTCTCACCCTAAGCGCAGTGACGTCACATTGGGGAATCCCAACACTAGGCTTGGGATGAATAGATCTATTCTTTGAATGACCCGAACGATGTGTGTTATAACATTCCTGTTCTTTATTGAGCATTCTCCAATCAAAAACGATATGGTTAATATGAAGTATATTGAAATGAAATTTTCCATTAATTTGTATTAAAATTCAACTTACACGTTCAAAAGAAAGGAAAAAAAGAAACATCCTTGCTGATACCCCAAGACCCAACACCGATGAAAAAAATTACGCCCGCCAAAATTGCTGTTTTTTGATTAGTTGAAAATACCTGTATGTCCGTATGTTGAAACTTAGGTAACAAAAGTAAGACAACTGCTTAATTAAATTACTTTTGTAATGATCTTCTAGGAACTGGGGAGGGGAGACCACTGGGGAGGGGGGGGAGGTGTCCAAACCCCTCCCCTCACTTTAAATACCAAAATAAGAAAAACAGAAATTCTCTGGGGAGGGGAGGGGTGGAGGGGTGACCTCTCCCCAATTTAACAAAAAAATATATAATATGAAAATAATATTTTTATTTTTATTGTTCGTCCGTCGAGGATTGACGAGGACCATCGAGTCGTCTGGTGACTGATGACTTGCGCAGGTGACTTTGTTTAAAGTGAAGAGGAGTTGCGCGGCGTCTACCTCACTCTCTTGTCCGAGCCCACCATATCCAGTGGCAAGACTCTACGTCAAGACGACCAGGGATGGGTTTGGTTGCAGGAATTGTCATTGTTTGCGCCTTAGAGGACTCCAACTCCGGGTTTGAATTCAGAGTTTCCTTCTCTTAGATGAGTTGCCGACCAAGGTTAACGAGTCTCAACCACCGGGGGTGATGTTTTTGCTTGACTGGCCTTTGGCTGGACTTGAACACCAGACCACCAACTTGGTTTGCTCAGTTAAGACCATTTGGCCACCCAGTCACCCATGAAAATAATAACTTACATTATGTAAAATACAAACATCGAAATCTTTTTAGTATGGCACTGTAGACAGCGCTGTAGATGGAAATGGACCTTAGGGAACCTCCGTGACCTATATACCGTGGAACACATCCCAGGCCTTACTGCTAACTCAAAACCAGCCTATATTGTATATATAAAATATTCACACAAACATAAAATAAATACTACTTAATCTATAATTGGTAAATTATTAGAGAACATCCCGCGATGGCCGCCATCTTGGTTGACACAACCAGTTGATTCTTTCACTAATGTATCCCTAAATCGACCACTATGCCTAACCTGAACCCTAAATCGATCCCTATGCCTAACCTGAACCCTCATTCACTGCAACTATAATAAACACCCAAATGACGTCACAGGGTTAAAACTAAGAATCAGCCATTATATATATAATTAGTGTAGGGACTACATTACATGCTGGGCTTAATTTATTTAGGCTACAGTTTGAGTGTTAGCCTACACTTTTGATTTCTTTTTGAAATATTAGAAAACCGAAAGGGATTATTAATGTCTATAACATCGACACTGACTCAGTGTAGAGTGTGAGTTGGCATGACGACAGTAAGATTTATGCCCTATGAGCCCTATGCCTATGGACCATTTCCATAATGAAATTTTTTATTAAAAATATGGCTAATTTGGAGAGATGTCACAATGACCTCTATAGTCTATAGTCATTTGCGTGTTATTTATAGGGTGTAGTGAGTTACTATAAATTAGGGTTCAGGTTAGGTAGAGGGATACATTTAGGGCACTGACAGAGTATGGAGTGTGAGTTGGCATGACAGTAAGATTTATCTGATTTATGCCCTATGCCTATGCCTAAGGGGCCATCCATTAAGTATGTCACGCTCCAGAGGGGGTGTAAGAAAGTGTGACAGTTTGTGACAGGGGAGGGGGGGGGGGGACAGGCCAGGGGGGGGGGGGGGGACAGGCCATGTGTGACGCCACATATTAATTTTTAAAAATTTCAGTTCTAATTTATTTTTTATTTTTGTATTAGAATTCAATAACTTTAAAAATATTTTGTGAAACATTCAAATTAGTTTTTATGTCAAAATAGCATGAAATGCGTATCTCCTGAATGTGTTGTTCACGATTCCTAAGAGCGCTAGTATGCTGTTGCGAAGCCTTGTTTTATGTATAGCCTTGCTTTCGTCAAGCCTGAAGTATTATTATTTCTATGTTGTCTGCTGCCTAATTATGTCACTGTCCTTTTTATTATTTAATCACTGCGTGAGGTCAAGTTTCACTAATCTACTTCTAATCCTGTTTAAAAAGATTGCATAATCGGAAGATTATCTAAAACTTGACCTCACCTATTGTAAATGAAAAAGCAGCAGATAGATGATGTGTAAGTGTATTATATGTCTAGTCTAATTTTTGTTTTCAAATTCAATCTAAATTGAGTTCCTGCTTCAATGAATGACTGTGACAACAGTTGACAACTATTCTAATACTAATATCAAAGTCATTTTAATAATTGATAGTTCTTTTAAGTGGAAATTTTATATTTTAATACAGTTTAATAGTGAAGTGTGTTTTAGATTAAATTTTAATTAGGTGTTAATTTAACAAAATTTTGTTCCAAAGTGTGACGTACTGGGGGGGGGGGGGGGTTTCAGGAATTTTGGACGGTTTTTGGTAGGGGGGGGGGGGGGTAAAAACAGTTTGTGACATGGGGGAGGGGGGGTAAAAATCGTCAAAAATAGCGTGACGTACTTTATGGACGGCCCCTATCTATGGCCTATGGTTATAGTATGGACATTGACCTTTTCCATGGTGAAAATTTAAAACAAAAATATGGCTAATTTGGAGAATGTCACCATTACCTCTACAGTCATTTGCGTGTTCATTATAGTTGCAGTGAATTACTATGAATTAGGATTCAGGTTAGGTTGAGGGATACATTTAGGGTTCATGTTTAAGGGAATACATTTAGTTTAGGTTTGTTGGTTTAGTGACAGAATCAACTGGTCGTGTCAATCAAGATGGCGGCCATGTGGCGACAGCTCTCTAAATTAACCTTTCATTTTTGTTTTAAATTTAAGTTGCTATTATATGATAATGAATATTAATTACCTGTGTGTACATGTTGCTCAGCTCCACAACTCCATGTGCAGCAAAGAAAAAACACGGCTACAAATTTCAGTCCAGTCATTTTTAAAGTAGCCTATGTTTTGTTGCCGCGAAAAGACCGTTGACACAGCAAGCACGTGACACACAAGCACGTGACACAAGCAAGCTCAATTCCCTGTAAAAATAGTACACTGTTAAGAAACAACTTTAGAATGATAACTACATTTTACTTTTAATAAAATCCCCAACAAGCAGAGGCGTAGCGTGGTGGGGGCAGGGGGAAGATGTCCCCGGGCGCCAGCTAGTTAGGGGCGCCAATATGTGCTTTGATATTATTTTATTGATGAAAATAATGAGTTTGAGAGTTGAAAAAAAAGAAAAAGGGGCGCTAAAAATGGATCTTGTCCCCGGGCGCGAATTTTGTCCCCGGGCACCAAACACCCTCGCTACGCCACTGCCAAAAAGGTATCACTTTATTATTCTATGACATGATATTTGAAAATATTTCGTCTGGTAGCATTTCTTCTAAAAATAAAGTCCTTAAATTTTGCTATCAAGCCATCCGGTAGCCTTTCTTCTAAAATTATATGATACTAAAAAAATAATTAAACATTTTTTATTACCTTATAGGCCTACTATTATTCCATGTCAAAGATTTCCAAACAATATATAAGCATAATAAAAATCACAGCAAACAATTCACTAGTCACTAGGTATGAAAATAAGGCTAGCAGTCTGTGTTCAACAGGTTAATGCTAACGGTTGCACTAACCCGTGGAAACCCTGAGCTCAATGAAAATGTTACAATGCGGAGTTCAAAATAACACGTGGAAGTCCACGTAGGCCCAGAACCACAGAGGCAGTGGCGTCATTTCAGGTGTTTTTTTTTTAGAGGGAAAAAGGGGGGGGGGGGGGAAAAACTTGGCATATAAAAAAAAACCGGCGGGTACAAAAACAAAAAAAAAGGGGGAGCAAAACTTGGCAATTAAAATAAAACCTGCCAGTTCAACAACAAAAAAAAAGGGGGGGGGGAGGCAAATGCCCTACCCAAAATGAAGTTCCTTTGGCAGGGGTATATCGCGGGATTAAATCGACCCGGGCGAGAGTGAGGAATTGCCCCGGGCTCTATGGACTTGTTGACCAAGTGAGAATGTTTAAATTGACCTGGGTCTTGGATATAAATAAAGGACAACGTATCTTTGAATAAACTAAAAATACTCTCTAGGTATTAGATGTAAATCTGGATAATTTCATTAAAATATTTTTGCCAGTTTTGTGGGATTTCAACAAATTTGCGCCATCATACACCTTTACCCACAGTTTGTCTTTATTGGCTTTAAAGAAAAAAAATTTTAAAAATTAATTTTTAAAGTTTTTTTCTTTCTGTGGCGTCCTCCGTATTTACACAACGACACGGTGAACACCAAATAACTTTCCCGTGCTGTCAGGACTTCAATCACCGGAAATGACGTAACCATCTCTTCGGGTGTTAGGGTTGGAACTACTGAAGTGCGATGTGTCAGTGTCACACGCTTTTTTTTTTTAAATTATAAATTCAATACAGGCTTAGGGGCGTCCATTAATTACGTCCACAAAATCAGGGGGCGTGGGGTGGAAATGTTTGACAGTTGTTGAAAAGGAGGAGGGATGGGGATTTAGATTAGTTGACGTCAACAATCATGTTTTCTCTACTAAAATTTAATCTTAAAAATTGACTAGTTATTGCCTTATTTTAAAAAAAATTTGAAGTGTAAATGAGTGTAAATAGCATACAATTTTTAGGCTTTTAACAATATAAGATTTATTTAATGTGTGTCTGTGCACTGCTGATGGCTGGTCAGAATGTTAGCACACTATGTTAGCGCAAGAGAAGGAAAAAGTTTGCCTCTCTTCACCTGTAGATTTTGTTGCAGGTATGGAAAAAGGACGAGGTTTAAGTGTCATGTGCAGTCAAGATAAATGATACTTGACAGAGTAGGAATACGACATTTTGAGAATTAGGTGAATGTAAAGTGAGTAACAATAATAACATCACTGCTTGAACGGATTTGCAAACTCTGTAACATCTATTATGCACCACAAGTCATGTTGAAAAAGCATGTTCAACAGCACCATTAGCACCTGCTCCGCATCAAAAAAAGTATTCCACCAATGTGAGTTGCTGCAAGGCTGCAGGGAGATAGATAGAGCTTATGGCAATTATTGCTCACACCGACAATGCTTCTATTTTAAGTGCTGAATGGTGAGATGAGGATGATGTTGACTTGTCTGGTATATCAGTGCCGCAAGATGAAAATGATAAATCAGCTGCTATAGACTATGCCCATCCGGGGCGTCATTTCATGTTTATTTCGGGGAGTGGGGAAGGCAAAACCAAAATTTGGTCGGCTTGTTAAGTTGTTTATTACTGGAGGCTCCAACCTGCAAATTAGCCCCCCCCCTCCCGGAGGGCCCAACCCGCAAATTAGCCCCCCCCCCCCCCCGCCCTAACCAAAATGATGTCCCTGATGCTCATCGTTACGATAGAGCAAACCTGGCTACTCCTTGGAAAGGTGATAGCAGCTAGAAACTATACTATAATTGTCAGCTTTACTGAAAATAAACCTATTTATACCACAAACAATGATGTTTAGTCTTTAACAACCTTTCAATTGATTCTGAATTATAAAATTTAAGTGTAAAAGCTTTTTAATTTGTTGATTAACAAGCTAAAGATGTAATGAAATGTTTTCCCTACAATTTTATTGTCATAAAAATAGATCAGCACAAAGTAAAATGTATTTATAAATTTATTTATAATATAATTCCTTTTTTTTTTTTACTAGTTCCTTATATTTTTTT